TTTTTTCCCTAAATTTCAATTCAATGATTTTTATTCTAACGTCCAATTTATAACATAATTAGTTCGAATATATAACATAATAATTTATAATAATATTATTTTTCAAAATAAAAAAAATTCGACCGGCCGTCGGGGCCAGACAGAAAATGGTGCGTCCAGCCGGTCCGTTCGTACAAAGACCGATTAGTACGACCGTAAATCACGTACGGACACGGTCATGTCCGGCCGGACGTCATTTGGGCCGTCCGGTTTCGGCGGCCGGACAACAACATTTTTTTTTTTTTTGACTTTTTGTGAAAAATGTTAAGGACAAAACTGTCCAAAGAAGGCGATAACCGGTGAATAGTAATGTGCTTGTTAAAAAAGGAAACCTAAGATACCTATAGATTATTAGAACCAACAAAAATGCCCCATTGCCCTTCTGCCGCATTCTGCTTGGCAAACTCACAAAAACCATGATGACATTTATATTTTATCTCCACTCACAAAATTACATTCCACTAACCCATCGAGTGGGACCCAGTAACATGGTACACACAAGCTTCCTCTTCCCCATTTTTTTTTTTTTTTTTTTTTCNGATCACATTTCGATAATCCTCATAAATTTGAGATTCATCAAATTTTATTGCGTAAACATCAAATTTTATTGTGTAAATTTGTTTTCTCATTATAACACTAGTTAATTGAAAACTTATACCAACGTGAGTGAGTTGTTTATAACTATATATATTCATTGATGGGTAACAAGTACTGTAACGAGTTAGGATTGTACTAAAACACGTCATAAGAATGAAAATGAGAAATTCATATTACCTGAACAATCAAACACGAAATTATTATTGGTAGATAAGTACCTATGCAATTATTATTTATAATCAACTTTTTATTATAATACATCAAACTAATTAACTTTAATGATGCTTGATTTTAATATCCATATTACATCTATGAAATAAAATAATAAAATTATATTATCTTTCAATTCTAGTTGAAATATAGACTTATTATATATCAACTAAACAAATTTATGTAGCAAAAATATCTATGATATGAGTTATAAAGGCATTATAATGTAGGGCAAAAGGGTTTTACGGACGAGTGATATCATTTTAAATAAAAATAATAATAGAAATTTTTAAATGTGTTTGAAAATTTATAATGAACACTTCTACTTTAAAAATTAAAATAATAAATAACAAACTTATTATCTATAAATTAAATAAATTTATCTATCAAAGTTATCATATGATACAAGTTACAAAATTAAGTTAGTATACTATCGGACCAGCGAGTCACAAGTATAATATGTGTTTATAAAATATAGTATATTTTCTTTTAAAGATACAAGTGGAAATGAAAAACCTATATATAAATATTTTCTTAAAACTTTGTAAATATAAATTTATTAACAAACTTGAAACTACTACTTCTACTTCCAGTTAAAACAAAATTCTATGGTTGTGAAACTTTGTAATAGGCTCCAATGTAAACTTTGTACATTCTCTTCTAATTATAAATTCTATGAAAAAAAAAAGTTAAAACAAAAGGGATTCCAGATTTGGATTACGTTCCCAAACAAAATAAGTTTATTCCTTTCGAATCATTTATCAAAGGGGAATTTATTTTGTCACACCCTAAATAATAATAATAATAATAATATAATAATAATAATAATAACCGAGAGAGGGTGAACCCAACGCGCACTGAAATGACGTGTGATAAAAACTTTGAAGCAAAAATAATAAACAAAAAGGGAAAAAAAATGCAAAAGAAAATTGGAATATTGAAAGCAGCCAGCCCAGCCACACCTGAATTGCAGACACAGCCGAGAACAAGAAAAACCAAAGGCGCACTCATCACCGTTCAATTCATCCGATCACTCGCCGGTGCCGGAACCTTATTTCACCTCTCTGACGGTCGCGTTGTATCCACGCACAGCCACGTGTATACCTAGCTTTTGTATACGTGTGAGTAGCTCCGTCAACCATTGGTTTGCGATTAAAACTATGGTTTGCTGTGATTGTTGGTGATGGAGTTTGTCCGGCCGTAGGCTGTTGATTGTCTCGTAATTTCAGGTTAGGCTTGCTCATGATTTTGTGTCTGGTATTTATCTGAATTAGCATTTATTGCTTTAATTATGTGCGGTGATGATTATGAATTGCTCCTTTGGAAAGGTACTGCTTTTGATTATTAGCCTCGTCGGCTTCGTATGAATTTCGAGGTTTTCTTTTATTGGTTATTTTCTGAAATTCGGTATGCATGTAAATCGATTGGTTTTCTGCGTGGCGTGGATTGTAGGATTTATCAGATGATTTTCTGAGGTGATTTGAGATGAATTTAGCTGATGCTCGATACGGATGAAGGAAATATCATATGCTGGTTAAACCTTTTTTTTTTTATTATTATTTTATGCCATCAAGTGGAAAAATATTTATCTGGCAATAAATGGTTAATGCTGTAAATGTGAAGATATACGAGTCTTTTAGCCATGGAAAATGGTACAAATTTCTTCAGATGTTTGATTGAGATTACCATCTAACTGGGAAACCCAAGATATGTTATTTACTTAATCTTTTTCATTAATATCATCTCACTTGTGATGTTAGTCCGTATTCTTTCTAGTCTATGAGTAAACTTCAATTTGCCATCATTAAGGGGCAAGATGGCTGATATTTGCTGTGCATTTTCTTTTCAGTAGATCTTTTGATATTCTGTGAATATTGCCTCAATTTTAGATTATGAACTTAATGGACATTTATACTTGTGGTGGGGTTACAGGGGTGACTAGAGGAACTCGATTAGCCCGTTTTAACTTTTTTTGGAGGTGTCATTATTAAACACCAGCTGAGGATGGAAACAAAACGAGCTTTATCCATTCAGAGGCCAGGTGGAAGACAGCTGGATAATTGTGGGGCCTCTGGAGCTCAACTTCCTGCATTGCCTGTTTTCCCGACTTCTCTAGAGAGAGATTTTCCCAATTACTCCCAATCCCAGCATGTTCACCTCGAGAAGAGACTCGACTCATCTTTTCCTTCCAACAACGGGGTTGCTGGCCATATATTTTCTTCATCCTCCCGATTTTCCAATGATTTTCTTTTTTCCTCTGCCCAACAGCAAGAAAGTCAATCCCTGTTTGTTACTCAGTCAACAGATACAGGCTCGTCATTTCTAGCACCACAGTGCGTTGACACTGGAGTCCATGTGTCAACTGCATTGTGCCAGTATAATAGAGAGAACATGAATGGCTCGTGGAGTGCTGATACACTGTCTGAGTTTTTGGAGTTTCCATTAACCAATACCGTCCCGAGTAGTCAACTTGCTGAGGATCTCGAAAAACCAAATGACTGGCAGGATTGGGCTGATCAACTTATAGGTGATAATGATGCTTTGACTTCTGATTGGAGTCAGATTCTTGCTGATGCAAATGCTGCTGATCCACAGGTAAAGATTGAGGTTAAGTCTATTTGGATGCGTCTCTTATAGGGATAATTATAAAAAAAGAAAGAAAAATCTGAAAACCAGAGCTAACTTTAAATATTTGAAAAATTGACCCTTGAATATCGGTTCTTCTGTTCATTTTGTACCTGCCATTAATGGAACTAAAAACAAAATTGATTTCACTTCTAAATATTTCTAAACTTACCCAACTTTTCGGAAGTTGGTTGTTCATGTCTTTGTCAAAACTTCATGAGTATTAAAAATACTTGGAGCAATTTACAAACCCCTGAAAATTTGAGGGGTGCAACTGTATCATACGAACAAACATCAGCTGATTCTGTTATGTCAATTAACTGTTTAGTGTCTTTAGACGAAATGTACGATGGATTCTAACCTCACATGTTGTTTTGAAATTTTCTTAGCCTCTCCTCCCATCCATTTCACTTCCCTCCAGAAAATAATTTTAAAAAACACTCGGGCTAGTTTGTATTTTCTCCTTCTGTTTATGTATTATATTTGTTTGTGTCTACTCTTTACACGATAGTGACCATGAACTGGTTTAACCTGTTTTCCTTTCTGCTACTGTAGGTATTGTGTCAAACATCCAAACAGTCAACTAGTTGTGTCTCGATGAAACCCCATATGCCACCAGCTGAAGCTCAAGAGACATGCAATGCTGCTGTTCAGTCCACACCTAGTAGTTGTTCTGCTGGAAAGCAGCGCATGCGTTGGACCCCAGAACTTCACGAGTCTTTTGTAGAGGCTGTCAACAAACTTGGTGGAAGTGAAAGTAGGTTTCTTTTTGCTTAAAATTACAAGCCTTGAAAAATCACACCAATCACTTTGATTTTATTGCAGGAGCTACTCCTAAGGGTGTCCTGAAGTTAATGAAACATGAAGGCTTGACAATCTATCATGTTAAGAGCCATCTACAGGTGTGTGTATATATATTAGGGTAATTACAGTTATCCCCATAAATACAACTCTGAATCTAACTTCAGGGATTTTTTTCTTTTTATATAGAATAAGGTCAGATCTCAAGGGTACTATTTGTGATCATACCATTATTTTTTTGACCTAAATTCATTATGGACTGCATCATTTTTTCTCAACTAAATAAGGGATCTGTTTCTTCATCTGCAGAAATACCGCACAGCTAGATACAAACCTGACTCTACAGAAGGTGCGTGATGAGTTTGTGCCTGTCTTAGTGTCTACACAATTTATGAACTTGGGACGAAGGGCTTTATTTAACCACTCTAAGATGAGATTTAGTTTCATTTGCTCGACACTTCTAACCATTGATGTGGTGCAGTGTACTGCTAAATAGCTTCATATTCCTATTGTTTTCTTGATAATGATGCATAGAGACCAACCTGTTGTACGCCTCTTATGTTTCTTGTTCCCTTTCCCTCGTTTCATTGTTATTGGAACTTTATCACCTTGAAATAGTCGGAACTCTTTTTTTTTTTACTTTTGTCGTATCAGATGTAAATTTTTTATTTATTTAATTACCTAAATGATTAGCCAACGATTCTTGCAGAATCTTTGGAAAGAAAAGCGACCTCTATTGAAGAACTTCCATCTCTGGACTTGAAAACGTAAGTTGAATTTCTCCACTTGTTGCTAATTATAACTCGTACTATATTAATTTAGTGTGAATTAAAAAACAATATATATATTCTTTAGCCTGATTGCAAATTAATTAATTGCTTTCCCTCAAAATTGCACAAAACCCATTTTCTGGCTGATTCAAATTTCCTCTGGTTTCGGAACAGGGGTATTGAGATCACTGAAGCTCTGCGGTTGCAGATGGAAGTCCAAAAAAGGCTTCACGAACAACTTGAGGTATTGACTTCTTCTTTTAGAAAACTATGATCAGGCCACCTGATCAGGTCTTTCATTTGGTAGGTTTACATGTTACTGTCAAAAACTACGTAGAGAATATAAATTTTAATGGGTTTTTTATTATTTATTATTATCTTTTTGAGTAATTCGTAATTTTATGTTTAACTATATCTGTTGTTTTTATAGATCCAAAGAAATTTGCAGCTTCGAATAGAAGAACAAGGGCGATACCTTCAAATGATGTTCGAGAAGCAACAAAAGTCCGGCATAGAGATAGAGGGGCTCAAAGAAATTTCATCGGCCGATGAAAAGGAGTCGACAAATGAAGTTGTTGAAAATGCTATAAGAGAAGTTGAGGCTCCAACATCCAAGCGTGCTAAAATGCACGAGTAGGCCAACTATCTTCTAATTTACTTTCCAGACTAAAATTATATTTCTTGGCCTGTGTATCCTTCTCTGAAGGGACTAAAGTGCAAAACTTGGTGAGGAGCCATGGAATTTCAGTCCTGTCGGCGGATGATGAACCCTTGTGGGCTTTTTTCTATAAACCTAGGTCTTAAAGATTTGATATTCATGATTTGTTATGGTTTTAGACTTGAATCGAGTAATATCTGTAGGGGAAAATGGAGAAGACCTTCAAGACCAGAAGCATGGTTATGATTTTTCAGGATTTATTGTACCATAGAGAAAATTTCGAGAAGATAGCTACAGAGATATAATTAAAGAGTCTAATCAGTAATGCATGCAAGTTCACTAAAAATTCAGACAAAGCAATTATCTATTAAATTAATGAAGAAAGTAAAAATGAAGAACATTAAATTTAAGTTAATTATAGGACGGCTTTTGTTTGTGCTATTTTCCAAAGTATAATATTGTTGTTTAAAAATAATGCATATCTACTGATAAAATATAATTGCCTAACATTTAAGTGTATCATCACCCACCCGTATCCATCCCAAGTAATCAAATCCCACTAATTCTAATGTCTCTTGAGGGTTTATGAGTCCAGTCTTAAAGTAACGAAACAGGAAAAGATGATTGATTGATTGGTCGTCTTTTATTGATGACTGCATTATCTGTCGTTTCGGTTGGTTATCGGAATAAAGAAAGGGACGGGGCAGCCGGTTGAATCACATAGTTGCATCATTGAATACACGGCGATGACACTCGTGAGTTGCGGGTGTGTCCGTTAGTAGAAGGTAAGACACTCGCGAGCTGCGAGTCCATCTGCTCCCAGCGAGTAAATTACTCGCGATCTACAGCTCTTTGTGCTGCCTCCAACTGTTGTGCAAGTGCGGCGTGCAGATAGTAGTATGTGGCATGTGTTGTGTTCATACTCAATTTGGCCTCAATTAATAAAAATGCTACGCGTGGATATATATTAAATTAAGAGCAACTTCCTAAAAAATTCTCAACTCCTTTTTCAACTTCCTCCTCAGTCTCTAGGTCTTTCTTTATTCCTATGAACTCCCTACCCCCTTAATTTTCTTCCTCCTAACTCCCTAGTGTTAAATTAAATCAAAAATAAAATTACTTATTACATCAGTCCACTACAACTAACCTAACATATTGTTTTATTTGTTTTCTCTTACACTAACCATTACACATACTAGTATTTTATTCATTTTTGTTCAATCTTCTTCCACACACCATCTCCCGCCCTCCCGTCTCTCTCTAGTCTCCCTCCATTTCCGGCGACTGCTTCACTTTTTTTTATTTTTTTTTGCAGGTTGGTCTCTCCGGCGACACCAAATCCGGCGAGAAGAACCCCGGCAGCAACAAATTCGACCAAACAAGTGATTCCGACCTCAAATTTGTGCGGCCAAAAATTCATTTTTTTCCGGCATCATTTGTGCTTTTTTCGGTCAAAATTTGAAGTAATAAGTAATATATGTATTATATGAGGATTTTGGAGTCCAAAAATCATGTTTAATTCATATATATTTGGTTAATTTGTTAAAGATTGAATTTTGAATATTGTTATTCATATTTACCCTAAATCAATTAAATTGATCAAGATATCTTTTTTCTTGTTCATGTATACGAAATTGATGCTATTGTTAGGTAATGTAATGTGTTATTCACCCTAAAACAAGAAAATAAGGTGGGAATGATCACTGTACCACTATTCTTGATTATTGTACCTCTGTTTATAGGTATATAGTACCACTTTAATACTGTTTTGTACCATATTTGCTGGGAAATTGAAGTTCTTTATTTATTTATCCAATTATTGTTAGATACATGAAAGGGGTACAAAGTGCTATACTAGGGAGTTGTACGTACAAGAATGAATTGTTTGTGTTCTCTATGCACATTGGATCAACGCTTGACGAAGTGTATACTCTCATATCAAAGAGGTGGCCGAACGTTAGTTTCGAATCCGTCGTGCTATGCTATATTACGTCAAAGGAAAAAAAGAGTTAGTTTGTTGGATGGTGAGGATGTGAAGAACATGATTCAGTTACATGTTTGTTGGAAATTAAATATTGTAGAGATAATTGCCATGGAAAGAAATGAAAGACCGGATGATAGAGTTCAATCCTTCCCGATGAACATGAACAAGTAATGTTGCTTTCATAATATTAATAAATTTATTATTGAAATATGGTATAATCGTATCATATCCTAGTTCATTAATTTTTTAACTAGTTCCATTATTTATAAATGTTTGTATTATTTTGTCATGAACGCAGGTAAAACGTTCAGTCTGATGATTTCTCGAAGGGACAACATGAGTTGTTGCAAGATAAATTAACCGATTCTTGGAGATTTTGCCTCAAAGGAGAGGGGCAGATATTCGGTGGGGCCGACGAATATCGAAAGAGTGTCAAAAACTACGCGATTGCAAACAAGCTGTCCTTTAAATATCGGAAAAATGACAAGCAGAAGGTCATCGTTTGTTGTAGCGATGCGGATTGTGAATGGAGAGTATATGCATCGTTATACAAAGGTGATCAGCAGTTTGCCATCCGAAATAGCAACCTCGTCCATACTTGTGGCGTGTCCAATCTTCGGACAATGGGGCATCCGAAAGCAGACTCCATTTGGGTGTCAACTACAATCAAAGACAGATTGATAGATGAACTGAACTACAAGCCTTGTACGATATTGAAAGATATTCACAGGGATTATGGCTTTGAGTTGCTTTTCAAAAAGGCATGGTTAGGGAAGGAACTTGACATGCAAGATATTCATGGAGCAGACAGTGGATCTTACAACAAATTGAGATGGTATTGTAGCGCAGTGCGTGAGACAAACCCTGGAAGCATTGCCGATTGTGAGATTGACCATGTCGAGAATAAGTTTCGCCGATTGTTTATCTGCTTTAATGCCTGCCTTGTCTGCTTTTTAACCGGTTGCCGACCGTTGATATTTTTGGATGACACCCACATAAAACATAAATAGAAAGACGTTTTGCTTAGTGCTGTGAGTAAGGATGTCAATGACGACTTGTTCACTATAACATTTGTCGTGGTTGATGCCGAGACCGATGAAAATTGGGGGTGGTTTTGCTTGAAGCTGAATAGTAGTTTTCTTTCCTCACGCTTACCTGTTTCTAGAAGCTTCACTTTTTTTTTCGGACCGACATAGCGGGCTACTTAAAGCCATCCCTATGATTTTTCCTGGCAGCCATCCTGCTTATTGTTTGAGACACTTAGTCGACAACTTTAAGAAGCAGGTAAGAAACTTAAATTCTGTATGTGAATAATTATTATTCTAATTTATTTATTTATTTATTTTTTGTAGGTGTTGAGGAAATACCCACATTTTAATAAGAAACATTGGTTCTCGATTTTTATGAAAGCTGCGTATGCTCCTAGAAGGCAAGATTTTGATATACATATAAATAATATTTTGACTAATATGCCTCTTGCTATGGACTTCCTTAAGGAATCTAACCTACAATGTTGGGCGAATTCTTTATTTGTTGGAGACCGTTGGAGGGTCATGAATAATAATCAAGAAGAATGTTGGAATAACAGGGTAAAGTTGGCACGATTTATGCCTATTGTAGCCATGGTGGATCACATAAGGAAACAAATTATGATCATGATGCATGATCGGCGTGAAGGAGTGTCGCGGTTCACTGGTCAGTTGTGTCTTAAGCTAGAGAAAAATTTGCATCTTCCTACAGTGCTTCTCGGAACATCAAAATCAGTCAATCAAGTGAATGGTTTGAGGTTCTTGATGGCGACAAAAGTTGTGACATAGATTTGCAACTTCAGACTTGTTCTTCTGGAGAATGACAACTATCTAAGATGCCGTGCAGCATGTATGTGCTTGTATTGAGAGTAGGTCGATGTCCGTCTACCATTTTTGCGATCCATATTATCGTGTCGGGATGTATAGGCAAGCTTATCAAGGTACTACTAACCCTATACCTAACTACGACCATAATGTGGCATCTTCCTCGTTACATCACGATTATGCCATTCATGCCCCGGATGTACGATCTCAACTCGGACGAAGGTTTCCTTCACAAGTTGATGTTGTTGTGAGGCGCTGTAAGCGATGTGGTGGTCGTGGACACAATCGATGTACGTGCAAAGAATGTGTGTAGATCACTTTTGTATTTGGCATGTGTGTTTATTGTTTTGGGCAGGTATGTTGGCATGTGTTGTTTTTTTTTTTTTTTTTGTGTCGGAATATGTATTTTGATGATACATTATTGACATATTCCGAGTATGTACTGTATGAATATTTTGCGAGTAATGCTGCAATACATACAAAACATTATTTACAATTCTGCGTGGGTACTTAAGAACGTCAAACCAGGTACTCTCCTTTTACAATATAGGTACTAGTTTTGTGGACATATGTGTATATCCGTTTTCATTCCAAAGAGTGGGTAGTAAATGACACTTTATGAGTAATATTTTTTGTACAATATACTGGCATTTCATACTGTAATATAGGTAATCGTTTTGTGAAGTTTTAATCGGTGTATTAGATTTTCATTCCAGAAAGTTGGCACTAATCGATCAATAACAGGTACTTCGTAGAAGAAAAAGCGGTATTATTTCCTTCAAAACTGGTACCATTCAATGAGTTGAAGTATATTAAGTAGTGTTTTTCCATTAGTATGTTGAGTTCATGACCAATTTGTGATTAAACTTAATTAACCAAATATCAAATGTCATAGAAACTAATGTCAGAGTGAATATGGGTCGTATAAACATCATTTGCGACCGAAATAAGGTCTTCTTATGTGTTCATTACAAGTGGTACAAGGGAGACGATATCTGGTACTATCTCGCCCTAATCTGGTACTGTCTTACACTATGGCTGGTACTACTTTTTGTAAATGTTGACCACAATTGAAATAATCAATTTTTCTTCACAAAAGTTGGTACTAATCGATCAATAACAGGTACTTCGTAAAAGAAAAAGTGGTATTATTTCCGTAAAAACTGGTACCATTCAATGAGTTGAAGTGTATTAAGTAGTGTTTTTCCATTAGTGTGTTGAGTTCGTGACCAATTTACGATTAAACTTAATTAACCAAATATCAAATCTCATAGAAACTAATGTCGGAGTGATTATGGGTTGTATAAACATCATTTGCGACCGAAATTCGGTCTTCTTATGTGTTCATTACAAGTGGTACTAGGGACACGATATCTGGTACTAATACGCCATATAGTGGTACTGCCTTACACTATGACTGTTACTACTTTTTGTAAATGTTGACCACAATTGAAATAATCAATTTTTCTTCACAAAAGTAGGTACTAAT